TGGGGACACGTGGCAATGAACGCGTTGCGTTCGTTTTGGGAACGCGCTGCGTTCGCACCGAACTCAGCCTATAAATAGAGGCGCAAATCACACCAAAAACTCACATCTTTCCAATTCTTTCTCTCTCAACACCCCCAATCTCTCCCTCCCAATCCCTAGCAACTTCCAAGTGCTAGAGGCGAGTCCCGGAGCGCCATAAGGCTCCGAGAAAAGAGCTTTTCGGTTCGGAAACGCTGCTCCAAGCAAAGCCCGGTTTTCTTTAAAATCTGTTGTAAGTGAGCTACGCCTATGAAATTTTTAATATAGCTTTTAAATAATTATAGTAATGTTATTAGGTCCTTAAAATAATTATTTGGGCTATTATTATGAGTTATATCGAGTGTTATTTAGCGCTTATATAATAGTAATAAAAGCTAGACTATTAATTAGTCGCGGTTAACGTTAGACTAAACCCTAGTGGTACTGATACTCGGTTTTGTCAAGGGAAAATTGTTTCGAGATAACGAAGTGCTGTCCGAGTACCGAGTCACCACCTTTTCAAGTGAGTGCATGGTCCCTTTCATCTTACACATAGATATGAAGTATTTTAATATAAATTACGTGCTCTGTGCGCATATTATCTGTATACTTGCTATCTATGCTGGATGAACGTTTTTATACATGTTTTAACTAATTTAAACAATATACGTATTTTATATCTACAAATATGTTGGGTATAACATGGGTAAATGAATGATGAGAGATAAAAGATGATGTGAGTAAACATTGGCAGCTATAAACTTAGTGCCGAATAAATAAACACTGGCAGCTATAGACTTAGTGCCTATTGGACAAACGATGGTAGCTATGGACTTAGTACCTATTAGGTAAACACATGTAGCTATGGACTTAGTACTTGTTAGGTGTTGGTAGCTATGGATTAGTACTTGGTAGCTATGGACTTAGTACTTGTTGGATAAACGTTGGTAGCTATGGACTTAGTACCTATGCTGGTAGCTATGGATTTAGTACCCGATGAAGGAACTTTTGCAGCTATGGAATTAGTGCATTGGCAGCTATGGACTTAGTGCCGACCTTATAACCCTGGAAGCAAGGGACTTCGGAACGAACGAATAGATGACTCTTAGGGTAGACGCTTGATAGTAAGGAAAATAATGGGGTTGGGTAAATGGGGTTGATTGTTTGTTGTTTAAACATAATAATTATATTATTGCGGGTTGAAAACCCTATGTACTCACCAGGTTTCCCAACCTGACCCACTCAAGCTTATTTGTATCACAGGTGTCGATACGAAGCTACCTTGCACTGAGAGATTTAAAAGAGATGTAGATCACTAGTGTAAATAATGTAAGTTCTGTTTATGCTTATGTTTCTGTATTGACAATGACATCCCAATGTTTTGAAAATAAATATAAAAATACATTTCCTTGGAAATGTTTTGATAAAGTATTTATCATGTTTTCTGGGAACAAATTCCGCAAAATTTTTGTTAAAAGAAGTACTCTGATTTTTATAAAGCATAAACAAAATCGGTCTTTTCTGGCCGTGAAAAATGGGGATGTCACAATATATATATATATATATATATATATATATATATATAAAGTACGTGAAAACATAATAAAGCGATTTATATTTTTAAACACAATATTTCTTGTATTTTACTTGTATCCCCCCACCCTAAAACATAGAAAAGCTTGGAAAAATTTGGGGGTATGAACTCACCTTATGTGTGATCGCGGTTTAGATAACGAGGTAAGATGGTGACCTTCGAGCTAGAATACGGGAAGGTTGTCGTATCCTAACTGTTTTAAACACATAATATTGTGTAAATAAAAGAACTATTCATAAACATGTTTGCATAACATTAGATTATAAGAACTTACTATTGCTTCTTAAGAAAGTAGATTAAAGAGAAATGCTCCAGGGAAAGTTGATCTTTCAGTTTGCAAAGGCATGAGGTTTGAGTTTTGAGAGAGAATTGGGATGAAATGGTTTACTGGAAGTGTGGAATGATCTCCATTTCGTGTTTTAAATAGGAAGGTAATAAGATATGATTATGAAGTGATGTTTACATTGAAATGCACAATTATCTTCTTGGAAAGCCAAACTACCTAATCAAGTGGCTAAATATCTAGATATTTTAAGAAGATTTCGGCCAAAAAGGATGTTGATTTCGGTTTGGTGTGGTCCATGGTTTGAGTTTTCAGCCATAGACATGATCTAAGAAGAGTTTTCGGTCCTAAGTGGTTCCTAGAAATGAGATTTCGGTCCGTATGTGTGACTTGGTATAGATTTCGGTCTTGGTTTAAACTAGAGAAGGGATTTTAATTTTGGCTTTTATCAAGAAGGGATTTCAATTTTGGTTTGGAATTTGATTCCCAAAACCGAAAACCATAAATATATTAAGTAATATCATGATTTCATTTAAGTGTTAGACTTATATTAGCCTACTTCAACATGGTTTTCCATATATACTTATATATAAGTTAAATAAACATGCACTCTAGGCTTTCAAAGTTCTATTGCATCAAGTTGTGTTTTGAATTCACTTATACTTGGTTAAGATTTAGACCTAGCTTGATCTAAAATTTTCCGGTTGTTACATTGATAAAACTTCGACACTCTTTTTCGATGGGTATATTCCATACCGAAATGTATTACACGCATCATTCCACTCTCGCCCCTTTATTCTTCTAATAAAAGAAGTTAATGATTCAACGTATCAAACGATACACTGATGAGATCTCACAACACTATGTTAATGAATGATAGTTCAAACGCATACTATCAGGAGATATCACAATCTCACTTGATTACCAGCTGCAACTTATGATACACAGATTGTTTCCGCTGCTCTTATATCTCACTGATTCTACTACTATCATTATGATTATGGCATTCTGATGATAACAAAAAGGGGGAGAAATATTAAGTTATGCTATGATCATTCAATATCAAACACTCTTGAAACAAGAGGGTTATACATATAGGGGGAGCAAAACTCAACTCTTGTTTATCAAAGGTGGGGGGGTCATACATCTTCTCAAGAGAAGCTATAGAAGAAGTTTTCAAAGTGTTTCTCAGATGCATTCATTTTCTCAGGGGGGGCAAAAGAAGGAAAATCTTAAACCTTCAATCTTACTCTTACGAGGAGCAAAATCTGAAGAAGTTGTTGAAAATTAGTTTTGAAATCATCAGATAGGGGAGATTGTAAGGTCACACATTATGATCTGATGATTCAAACACCACACATTGACCACCAGCGTCAACACCAACGCTAGCACCAGCACAGATCTTATCAGCATCAGCGTGAACCAATGATCTTGTTGGTCTTATGTATATTAGGCAGTTATACGTATATATAGAATAGATGTCTGATCCGTATTATTAGAGATTAGGACCAAACCTTTACATTAGATAGGTATACATCCCTTAATTAGTGGTATTTCAGTTATTGTAATCATATATAATCAACATTAGGGTGAAACCCTAATGTAAGTCTTGATGACCCTCTTTGTGACCTCGTTCTCTTGGTGAGAACATTCTTTCTTAGTGAAAGCATCTTTGTGATTACTTGTGTTCTGTAGTTTTTCTATTTAATCTTTTGCTTAGTTTGTTTATTCATTGTTATTCATACTTGAGTGTATTTGATCGATACAAACCTTCGAAAGGTAACTTCAAATAACACAACTTTGGTCCTTTATGCAACTATGGTTCATCCTTTTCTAGGACTCTTTCATTAAAGCTCCCTAACTAACTTAAATTTAGGATTTATTCACATATGATCATTTCCAACATAATTCTTGACAAAACTAATCCTAGTCACATTATTAGTCAAATCCCTTGTCTAACGCAAATTTCACTAATATGAAACAAATGACCATTCTAACCAAATATCACTCGTTCAACACTAAAACTCCATTTTGTTTTAATTATACACATAAATCGATCTATTATTATTATAAGAATTGATTTTGTCAAATTTTCACTTATTTAATTAATTAATTTTATTATTATTATTATTTATTTTATTTTACCAAAAGTCCAAAACTTTTAGGTACGAAAACAGGACGTTGCATTTATAGAGGCGGTGAACAAATATGTTTGAAAGGTTTAGTGGGTAATCTAGGACAAACTTTTAGGTACGAAAACAGGACGAAAACAGGACGTTGCATTTAGGACCTTTGACATACATACTTGTATATGTTCGTATATATGGAGAGATGTGAATTTGAAAATTTTAAACAGGACAAATTGTACCAAAGACATTAAATTCTTACAAAATTTTGATTTTTCAGAGCATGTTATTTTTCCTACAATTAAGGCATTACATCTTTACAAAAGTTCGATTTTAACTCTGCATTTTCCGATTCGTTTCAATGCAGATGTCAGTATATGATGACTTGGTATTGACATAACATGATGACATCGTATTTTTTGGTGATATCATTTTATGGATGTCAAAATTGTATAAAAAATGTAGTGTTAAATTTTGTTTATTCAATTTTATTTTGATCTAAATGTCGGTCTAGAATGGTGATATGTCGCTATATGATGATTTGACTTTAACATGACATGATGACATGATGCTTTTTGATGATATCATTTTGTGGGTGTCAAAATTGAATAAAAAATGTATTGACTTACAAAAATAATATGAAAATATGAAAATCGAACTTTTCTTAAAACTTAGTATATTTTATATAATTTTCTTTATTATAACATAATAATCACGACTTCCTGGAGTTAAAGACAAATAATATTATTATTTTGTGTACAGAATTATAATTAATCGTCTACCTAGATATCATAAAAGATGCAGATGGAAAGTAGAACGGCAAATGTGTATAATAAAACGTAAATACCGGATGATAAATGTGCAAAGTCATCTCTGAAATGTAACAAAGGTGATACTTGTGAGAAATGAATAAATGAATTTTAAAAGCAGGGCCTCCTAATATCTGTCCAGGTCGTATACAGTGGTGGGTAGTGATTAATCAGTCGTGATTGTATTGAAGGTAGGAGATTTGCCTTTGAAGCTTAAGTTGGTGATAAAAATTAGCTATGAACTCTTCAGCCTTAACATCAATCCCTTCTTCCTCGCACATTTCTTCATCATTTTGTTCATGTTCTTCTCCATTTGTTATCAAGAAACTCCGTCTTGGCTGATGATAAGAATAGTCGATGTCACTTTGATCGTCGAAGTCATAGGCATCAAAAGCATCAGCAGCTTGTGGGTTGATGCAAGGAATGTGAGGCAAATGGAAACGCATGGAGTTGGGTCGATGCATCCTGACATGGATGATAGGGGTGGCATCGAAAGAGAGTTGACGGTCACCATCTTGTAGTGATCCTACGCCTTTGTTGGAATGGGATAACTGCAGCTGCAGTTGCATCAGCCTTTTCTTTAAAGCAAAGACTCCACCTTTTCTTGTCCATAACAAAGCTAATCTTAGTATGTTCCATGCTCGACGACCCATGTCTGATTTGGAACTCTTGTACATTTTCTTTTCTTTGTGTATCTATAGCGAAACTCGAAGTATGATATATAATGGAGTTGAATTGAATGAAGCAATAGATCGACGTTTGTGTGTGTATATATATTCCTATCTATTTTGTTTGGTTGTGAAATGAATACGCGGTTATATGTTGCGAGTCTAATTTTTTAAGAAAGGAAGAATGGTTGGGTTTTGGGTGTGGAAATGGTGGCAGCTGGGCATGTGCTCTTTCCAGCGACTGCCATCTGTACTACGTTGTATGGGTTGGTGGAGATGTGGGAAGGGCCATAATAAATGGCAGGAAGTTTCCTTCGTACTAAACAATCAAATATTTTAGGAAAAAATATTAAATTAGTGTCTCCGTATCATTGATTATCCACGGGGCTTCTTGACTTCATGTTATGAATTTTGTCCCTATTTGGGAACCAAGCACCGCGTATGTACAATAGATGTATCATGTATGTATGGTGTGGACACATTGGCCTTCATTCACCGGCACTTCATCTTGGGAATAAAACTAATTAACTTTCTTAATTAATGATTGATTAAAAGTTGACAACACAAGCACTTTCCTTTAATTTCAAAACCATTATTATCTTTTAAACTAACAAAAGAAGGAAAATAACATATTAACCCAATAAAGTATTTTGAATTTACACATTCAGTCCTAAATTTTTTTTGGTGATTTATGGAGGCATAAAGTAGATGTCTACCTGTTTTTTCGGTGACTGTTACCTCATATAACAGATAAGTCACATCAACTTTGTTGACCAAAAAAACACTAATTTCCAAAATCAAACCCCTATTCTTGTCTTGTATCTTAAGTCTTGGAGCTTCAGTCGTTTAACATCAATCACTTCCATCACCAAGCTTCCATTACTAAACTCATGTAATTGTCAAAAACTTTTTCTGGTATATCAAATTCAAGCTCGTCGTTTCTCATCAATCCTAAACCCTAATTCCACCACTCCTCTCTCCAACAAAGAGAAATCACGAGCCGCTCTTTCTCTCCTCAAATTCAAGAAAACCCCATAAAGAATAATTGAAATCTCTTGAGCAGCTTCACTCACGTCGAAATCTCATCTCAACCGTGTTGCCTTCTTCGTCGCCATTTCAAAGCTCACCGAGTTAAATTACTTCGAGGGCCTCTGTAAGTTCGTCGACGAGTTGCTTAAAACCCGACCAGATTTAAACAACGAGAAGTTCATCTCTAACGCAATTATTTACTACGGTCAAGATAGGCTGTTAACCAATGCATTCCAACCGTTCAATAAAATGTCCCAGTTGGGTGTTGATCAAAACGTGAAATGTCTAAATGCTCTATTGTTTTCTTGTATGTTGGCAAAGAAATACGATGAGGTGAAGCATGTTTACCTCGATTTTCATAAAAAAAAAAATAAGGAATCAAGCCTAATCTTGATATTTATAACATCGTAATCAAGTCCTTTTGCGAATTAGGCTAATCGAGTTCATGCTACTTAGTGACTACAGATGACAACTGATTTTGACTTTTAGTAGGTTTAATTGTGTTGAATAAAAAAATACAACAAATCTGATGTGGCTTATAAAACCTGCTATATCAGGTAGCAGTGACCAAAAAAACAGGTGGGCATCTACTTTATGCCTATAAAGCACCAAAAATTTTAGGACTAAATGGGCAAATTGAATTACTTTATTGAGCTAATATGTCATTTTCCCCCGTAAAAAACAAAGAAGGGGAGGAGCAGTTGTATATGTAATTATGGTCTTTGTTGGTCAGTGCAATCACTCTCTTTTCTTTGTCAATTTCCGTCTTACGAAAAAAGATTGACTTCTTACCAACATCACATACAAGTGAGCCGAAAATCTTAGGGACGCCTCTCCTTCCTCTCCCCCCCCCCCCCCCCCATTTGACAATCGTCTCTCATTTGGATGATTCTCTTAAACCCGTTAACTAATATAGAGAAAGACGAAGGGAAGTTCAGAAAAGCCTAGCAGACGAGATTATCAACCCCTTTATTGTCACACCCCAAAACCGGAACGGCGGAATCGTTCGGGGGTGGAGGACGTCATGTATAGTATCACAACAATGAATAGTAGTAAACAAGCAACAACATCATCCATTGCTTTAATAATATAATTTAATACAAGTGTGTTCTGTGAAGTGTAATAGACACTAAAAATGTAAATCAAAATAAAAGGTGAGTCTTGAACGAGCTCCATCTTCTCAAAATCTGGCACCGGTACCTGTCTACTGGTGACCTGAGAATACAAGTTATTTTGAAAGAGTTTATCAGCTTTAAAGTTGGTTAGATCATAAGTATTTTAGCGTCATTATTTGTAAGAAAGTGTTTGTAAGTATGTGTTTTGTAAGTTTGTAATGTTTGTAAATGCTTGTAAAATGTTTGTAAATGTTTGTAAGTGTGTGATTTGTAAGTTTGTAATGTTTGTAATGTTTGTAAATGTTTGTAATTTGTAAGTGTTTGAATCTCCTAGAAAACCCTATGTTTTCTACTAAATGTAGTTCTTCCAAGGCATCAAATGTTTGTAAAATGTTCTTGTAAGAGTATGTATTTCCCAAATCTGACTATCATTAACCAAAAATATAGTTTTACATTACTGCTCATTGTGTGAAGATCACAAAGTGAATGCAATGGGGAAATAAAATAGTACTGTAGTGTTGTATTAAGTAACTACTGCTGTATTAACTACCTTAAACCAATTGTTATTAAGAGTACCATGTGATATGCCTGCACCATACTACCGACTAAAAACACGACGATGAAAGACGTCGGAAGGAATGACGTTTGGCACCCGTAGACTTGCAAGTCCCACTGTAGCTAGCAGCAAGGTGTAGGATAGTCAATCCAGTATAGATCTATACACAAACTCAACGCTCTCCACTTAAGGAGATTCTGGATACAAAACGAGCCATGACAGGTGATGCCATGCCCCGTTACGTGGCTCACATAACTGTAGTAGTGTTCTTGTATATGTATTGTGTGTAGTAACGCCCGTAGATCCGGGCTAGTCGATTTAGAGATAATAGGGGTCGAAAACGACTTTTCGGAAAAAGATTATTTATAATAAATAATCTTAACCAAGTTGTAGAATATGTCTCAAGGTTTCCGTACATATAAAGAACGTCGAAATCCGAGTTATAACGAAGAAGTTATGACCCGTCGAAGTTTTACGGCAAAACCGGCACGGCACCGGGAAGCGTAAATAGTGAATTTACGATATAGTGAGTTTTAGCCTTAGCGATCTAAACGAAAGTCGTAGAATACGTTAAACCGAGAGCGTCCATAAAACGAACACCCAAATCTGACTTCGTATGAGGAAGTTATGATTTTTCGAAGTTTCGGCTTAGCACTGTACAGCCCGAAGTTCGAATATTAGATCGAGCGGTTTTTAGCCGACACAACCTAAACGAGAATCGAAGATCTCATTAATAGTAGCATAACGATAAAAAGACAGACGAAAACGGACGTCGGATGAAGAGGTTATAAATTTTTAACGGACCAATCCTGTCCCGGCCTGTTAAAAATATAACTTTTAAAATAAAGTCAAAATTAGCCGACGGAGTCTAAACGAAAGTTGTAGAGTACGTTCCCGCCTACGCGTGGATATAAAGAACGTCGAAAACGGAGCTCGTATGCGAAAGTTATGATTTTTAGAAGTCGGGAAGGAAAATTGTGAAATCTGCAAGGAGGTGGTGACGTGGCCAAATCTCAGTCGTTGCTTGCTGAGCACGGCCTCACATCCGATGATCGCCACGAAGCCTCGCTCTATGCCCCGCGTCTGAAGCTGGGTACGCCCGGCGTACTTAGCTTTATCCACTTCCGAGAGTAGGCGCATGCGAGCCAGCTGGATCCGAGCTGGTGACCTCATCTGAAGCTACGCGCCGCGTAGCTGCTGTACGCGCAGCGTACCACCGAGGTTCAGCAGCCTATAAATAGCTGCGAGATTTCCCGGAAAATTCACACCAATTCACTTCTCTCTCTAACTTACTTTCTCTCTCTAGCCTATTTTGAGCCCCCTAAACCCTAGGAAAAATCCCTAGCACACCCTAAGGAAGCCCCGAGGCTCCCGAAGTCACGAGAAAAAGGGTCTTTCGGTTCGGAAACGCTGCTCCAAGCAAAGCCCGGTTTTCTTTAAAAATTCGTTGTAAGTGAGCTACGCCTACGCAATTTTTAATACAACTTTTAAATAATTATAGTAGCGTTATTAGGTCCTTAAAATAATTATTTGGGCTATTATTATGAGTTATATTGAGTGTTATTTAACGCTTATATAATAATAATAATAGCTAAACTATTAATTAGTCGCGGTTAATGTTAGACTAAACCCTAGTGGTATTGATACTAGGTTTTGTCGAGGGAAATTGTTTTAAGGAAGTAACGAAGCGCTGTTCGAGTGCAGAGACACCACCTTCCAGGTGAGTGCATAGTTACTTTCATCTTACACATAGATATGAAGTATTTAATATAAATCACGTGCTATGTGTGCATATTATCTGTATACTTGCTATCTATGCTGGATGAACGTTTTTATACATGGTTTAACTAACTTAAACTGTATACGTATTTTATATCTACAAATATGTTGGGTATAACATGGGTAGATGAATGATGAGAGATAAAAGATGATGTGAGTAAACATTGGCAGCTATAAACTTAGTGCCCAATAAATAAACAACGGTAGCTATGGACTTAGTGCATATTGGACAAACGATGGTAGCTATGGACTTAGTACCTATTAGGTAAACACAGGTAGCTATGGACTTAGTACTTGTTAGGTGTTGGTAGCTATGGATTAGTACTTGGTAGCTATGGACTTAGTACCTGTTAGATAAACGTTGGTAGCTGTGGACTTAGTACCTACGCTGGTAGCTATGGATTTAGTACCCGATGAAGGAACTTTTGCAGCTATGGAATTAGTGCATTGGCAGCTATGGACTTAGTGTCGGCCTTATAACCCTGGAAGCAAGGGACTTCGGAACGAACGAATAGATGAATCTTAGGGTA